TGCTCATGGCCACTGCAGCCTCGACCTGCTGGGCTCAGATGATCCTTCCACCTCAGCCTTCCAAGTAGCTGGAACCACAGACACGTACCACCATGCCCGGCTAATTTTTTTGATTTATTGTAGAGACAAGGTCTCGCCGAGTTGCCCAGGCTGTTCTCAAACCCATGGGCTCAGGCAATCCTCTCGCCTCTACGTCCCAAAATGCCGGGATTATAGGTGTGAGCCACCACACCTGGTTCCTATATATGTTTGATGTTTTCTTGGTTATTTTATTTTGTTTTTTTGAAATTTTTTACTTTGGTAATTTCAAGAGCTCTTGTTCTCTGACTGTTCCTTTTTTTCATAGAATTCTTCTTTTAATATAGTAACTTTTTGGACTTACTTGATGATACTTAATAACAGGTTTAGTTTTGTTTTGAAGTTCCTTTATTTCCTGTGGGGTTATTTTTTCTTTCTTGCCCGTCTTGGTCTTTTTCCTCTATGTTTCGGGCTTTACTGGTGGGCACTAATACACACCCCTCCCAACCGTCTCAGTTCTCAAGAAGAAATCAGTCCGTGGTGTTTCTTTAGTGATACCCTGCCCCTGTGTAACAATTTGACCTGGTGTGACTTTCTTGCCATGGGCAGTTTTGCACTGGGATGGTGTAGGGAAAGGAAGAGTCAGCTGGTCCGTGCATAGGACTGAGATCTGTCCACACCCCACAGACCTGCCATCTGTGGGTCTAAAGCTTCCCTGGAGACAGATCTGCTCCTTCCAATGCTGCAGCCCTTCCTCAAGACATCTAGGCAGTATGTCCTTTTGTTTCTGTTCACTCTTCATTTTCTGAAAATTGGTTGTTACTTCTTATCTGCCAGTGGCCCCTCCACACTTTCTCTTTGTTATGGGTTTATTAGTCTGTATTGTATTCTTTTACTGTTTTGTTTTGCTTTGTAGAGATGGGGTCTCGCTATGTTGCCCAGGCTGGTCTCAAACTCCTGGCCTCAAGTGATCCTCCTGCCTTGGCTTCCCACCTAGGATTACAGGTGTGAGCTACCTTGCCTGGTCTCTTTTACTGTTATTTTCATGAGGTTGCAGAAAGGAGAGGAAAGGACGCTTGTATTTAGTATTTAAATAGGAAACCAGTTTGCTGTAAAAGAACATAAACCTTAGAAACCAAAACACTGGTTTGTTTGTTTGTTTTCAAAACAATTTTTTTTCCTGCTATCTTTGAAAGGGTGGTTCTCTTGAAAACATGTGCTGAGTGAAAGAAGCCAGTCACAAAGGACCACATATTTGTTACATGATTCTGTTTGTATGAAATATCCAGAGTAGGCAAACCCATAGAGATAGAAAGTAGATTAGTGCTTGCCTAGGGCTGGAGGTGTGTGGGAAAGTTGGAAGATGACTGCTAATGGGTGTGAGATTTCTTTGGGGGATGATGAAAATGTTCTAAAGTTGATTATGGTTATTGTTAATGTTATTGTTAATTAACTCTGTTAATCACTAAGAGCCATTGAATTGTACACTTTAAATGGGTGAGTTGTGTGAATGATATCTCATTAAAGCTGTGCAAAAGTAGTGGTTCTTTTTCGTGTGTGTGATATTATTAGGTACATTCTCTTAATTTAGGAGCAAAGAAATCTTATTCAGTATTAAATGTATAAGGTAAATTGAGATGGTAAGGATAATGAATCATCTGATGGTGTATATAACAACCTCTTATTTATTAGGTTCAAAAATAAAGAAACTGGTGTATCCGCCTGGCTTCATGGGATTAGCTGCTTCTCTCTATTATCCACAACAAGCCATCTCATTTGCCCAGGTAAGATAGACCAGTAAGCTATGATACCCCTCATGGTTACTTGTATATGTGTGGGTTTGCTGCTTAATTTTATTTTGCAGCTTTTACAACACCAGACTAAAATTTGTTTGCACGTGTAGATGAAATACAGCAAATTTAAATGATTTTCTCCACTGTAAACCTTAGTTCTGGCCCTCCTTCCAATAATGCTAGTATTCAGAGAATTTGAACACTAATTTGCACACTGATTTGAATATTAATCAAAGAATATTTAAGGTACCTTTCTTACATACTTACATGGAAGTCTAAAGACTCAAATTTTAAAGCTGATAATTATAGGCCACTCACTAGGTTTAGGCATGTCTGGTCACAACCTGCTCTTATTGGAGTTGTAGGCACAGACTTCTCTGACCTCCACACCTTCTCCCTGGCACTGGTGCCAGCCTCGCCTTCCTTGCTAGAGACTCCAGGGACTATAATCCTCTCTGCTGGGAATGCCCTTTTTAGGGCTCTCAAATTGGTTGCTTTACCCTTTAAACCTCAGCTTGATGGTCTCCTGGCAAATAGGTAGATCACAGTGGCAGGGAACATGGGTAAAGCTGTACTACTGGTTCTCAAAGCAACAGCATTACCTGGGAACTTGTTAGAAATGCAGATTCCCCGGCTCCACCCTAGACCAACCGAATCAGACACTCTGAGGGTAAGGGCCATCACTCTGTGGTTTAGCAAGCCCTCCAGGTGATTTTATTTATATTCATTTCTTTATTTTTGTTGGAGAATCTGGATAATTAACCTCCAGGTGATTTTAATGTCTACAATGTTTGAGAACCAGTGATGTAGACTAGTGGGGTAGCCTCAGAGAGGTGATATGTGGAGTGGACCTCCAGACGTAGAGTCCCTTGGAAAACTGCAAGAGCAAGACTGGCTCTAGGGTTTGAGACCCTGGGCAAATTATGAACAGAGGGACTTGCCAGAACTGCCATATCACATGAAGACCCAGTCCCAGGAGGAGACAGCAGTGCAGTCACCAGAATCGGGCTCTGAGCCAGATCAACCTAATACTGAGCTCCCTGGATTTCTCATGACAGAATTGATTCCAGATTCCCGGATCAGGCTACAGTTGTAGGTGAGAGTTCAGTGGTGCCAACTGTGGGAGACTGATGGCTTTGGTGGCGAATGCCAATAAGATCTTTCCAGCATTGCCTTGATACTGTTTATAACAGTCCTGGAGGCAAGGAGTTAATTCTCCTGTCCCTGTATCAGTCCTAGCTCAGGAACAGTGACTAACGTCTGCTTGCCCTAGATGATAAAAATAATTAGACATCATCTCAGTCTGTTATGGTTTAAACACTAAATGGCTGGGATGGGGAGGGTGGGCGAGGTTGCTGGTTGAAAAGCATTTTGGCTGCCCGCAGAGTGGGAGTCTTTTTTTTTTTAAATCTTATATGCCACAGCCTGTGTTGCAAAACATCTTTTGTATTCTCAGCCAAGATAGTAGGATGTAAATCTGAGTTGCATTCTTATTTATTTTTCTTTTTTTCTATTTTTTTAAAATTTATAACTTTATTATAGAGATGTGGGCTACAAGTCAGGATTACATAAGTAGTCTATGTGCAGGTGACATTCTTATTTATTTTTAAAGTAAGGGAGAAAGAGTTTTGTCTTTTCTTTTGTACCTAGAACAAACTAAAACAAAACAATTAACTTCATTTTCATTAGATACAAAAAACATTAGTGATCTGTTTGGGCTGATGAAAAAGTTCTGGAAATGAATAGTGGTGGTAGTTGTAATGACATTGTGAATATACTTACTGCCAATGAATTGAACACCTAAAAATGGTTAAAATGATAAGTTTGATGATATACATCACTTAACCACTATACAACCAAGCAAAACAAATATCAGTGATTGAAAGAGAGTTTCTGATATTGTTTCAGTGTCATTTAGTTTGTTTCACCATTCTAATTTTCTTTTTTTATGATTACCTTCATTTTGGATAAGCTACTTAATTGCTTTATGTGCTGTTTTCTATTTAGTAATGTTTAGCTAAAAGTATGATAAGAAAACCCTTAGATTGGTGAAGAATGTTATTTTCCTCTCAGAAATGTCAGATACTTAGAACAGTGCCATATATGTGTAAATGCTCAATATATCTACCACTGGGTCTGAGAATCATACATATCATATCATATATTATATCATATAAATTTTAAGAACAGTAGAAGTAACTGGAAGAATATAATCTGTAAAAAGTCAACATGTTGCAAGGACCACTGAATTTACTAGCACTATGACCTTGTATGAGATACTTGGCCTCTGAATGTTTCCTTTGTCTTTGTCTACTTGCTACATAGAGTTGCTATACAGGATAGAGATAATTCATGTGAAAGTGAATTTGTAAACCATAATCCTATGTACAAATTAGGAAGAAAATAACTGCTTTTAGAAATTTGAAGTACTGTCATGGGGAAGAGTAATCAACTTCAATCACTTTTATTAATCAAATTACTAGAATCATATTTTTGGAAAGCTTAATAATTTACAAAAAGAAAACACATTTCTAGCAATTCAGGACAGCTAGCCATAAGCGGGCAAGCGTATTTTCTCTCACCTGGGGGCCTGCCTCTCAGAATGTTGGAGGAATAATTCTGAGTCAGGTTACGTCTAGAAACTCAAAGATTTGGGGGCCTGGAAAAACTGGGAACATCTTAAGTGGGTTCACCCATTTTTCATCTAAGTCCCTAAAATGAATGATTGATTTTCAACTTAGCAAATGTAATTTGATTGACTATAATGTGCCAGGAAGGGTGCTAGATGTGATAGGTAGAAACCTTCTTTTAGTGTCTGATTTTTCAGGGATTTCCCATATCAGCAAATGTGTTTGCCTACATTTTTCTTTGAAATTTTGAAAGTTTAGAATATATACCTGTAATTTATAGCAAATTATTTCCAAAGATAACTATATACAACCAACTATTTTTTCTTCTTAATCTTTCATTCTTGCTATCTTTTTATTGGTTTATATCATACAATTGTAATGTGTAATCCCAAGACTTCCTGTAGTAGTCATATGCATAAATACAGGATTTTGGGAAAACAGGAAAAAAGAAAACAGAAAATTCTCTTCCTTACCAGTAATGTGTGGAATAGAACAGATCTTTCCTATTTTGTTTCAAGGTCAGTGGGGAGAGATTATATGATTGGGGTTTACGAGGATACATAGTCATGGAAGATTTATGGAAGGAAAACTTTCAAAAGGTAAGAAACATCTTTTTCGTTATCTTCCTTTTGGTTTAAATACGTGGTTTCTCTAGGATTTTGTAAAATACTTGAAAACAATTGCTTTTCTTGCTTTTTCTGTTTGTTGCTAGTTACATCTCTAGCACTTATCTTCTGGTTATCATTATTGGAAGAGCAATAGAACTTCTGAAAGTTTGGTTATTATCAGCAGGGCTAAATAAGTGGTGACCATTAAATTCATTCCCCCAAAGTCTTAGACCATATATTCCATTCTATTATATTTATAGGTTGCTCAAAGTGTAGCATGTTACCTGAAAATTTTATCAAAACTGAATTCAAAGGGAGCATACTATGCTCCCAGGAAAAAGACAAAGAATTGAGATCCTCCTCCTCTTGCTTTTTCACGTATCATAAGGTCTTTTCTTTCCTTTAGCACTGTTGTTTCTGTTTATCCCCCAGGCTTTTCGGCCCAGCTGAGGGCGTGAGCCATGGTGTGTTGGGGACCAGCCACCAGCTACAGGCCACGTTCTCTATGCTGTCTGGTGGATGAGCAGCAGAGGGAGGAGGTTGTGTAATTGTAAGGACTTGTCACCTTTCATCTCTTCTAGCAGCCACATAGCTGATTAAATGTTGCCAGTGCTTGCTGGAACATTCTTTCTTTCTCCTGATAAGGAAGAATGAGTTTAGAATAAAGCTTCATGTCTCCACTAAGCACTCAGAGGCATAGCCAGCTAAGGGAGAATTGGGGTTCTTATACTACCTTGTACATCAGCCACTGAAGGAACTTCATTTTGCTCCATTTATTCTAAATGAAAATACTCTTTTAAAAAATATAAATAACTATCTTAAAATTAAAATCCAAGACTTTGAACTGGAATTTGGGAGTAACATAGAATAAATTTAAGCCCTCTTCATTGTTTACATAAATAATCTTACAGTGAAATCTTAAGGCAAATTTGTATACTGGTGGTTTCTAAAGGAATTAGTTCCTCTTGAGCCTGTTTAAACTAGCTCTTGAGTGGGAAGTTCTAGACCAATATCAAATGTCCTGTGGCAATCCCTTTTAAAGAATAAACATTTGTAGTTTCATTTTTACTTCTCTGACATTTTCTATGGAAGTTTTCTTTCCTGTTTAAAAACATTTTTAACAAATCCACACTGAATATGGGCAAGGAAGTAAAATGTCAAGAAAAGTGTACACAGTCCTAGAAGGAACTGTGGAAAGTGAGACTAAATCAGCTTCAACTCCAGGTACTTACTGTGGTATAACTGCAGATGGAGGCACACCAAAGCCTAAGGGGGATCCCCAGGAGCCTCTGAGTGCTCACTATAGTGTCTATGCAGACATATGCGCACACCAAAGATAAAGTGGGGGCCACGGGAGCCTTTTGCTTAGAAACAGAGTTCTCTGACTGCTCTGAGAATTCAGCCCAGTACAGAAGCAATGGGTTGTGATTTTAAAATGTTGGGTATTAAAGCTACTCAGATTTATATGTGATGTCTTTTTGGAGTTGGGTGGTAAAGACTTTTAATTAGCTCATGGTTGGTTTGCATTTCTTTCTCTGTTTTATACCCATGTCCTCTTCAGAGCTATTGAGAACTTTTCCCATTCATTTACTCTCTAAGCTTAATTTTCCTGACAGCTGTCTGTTCTCAATGTACGGTAATAACATTGATTTTGACGATGTTAAACATTTACTACAAGTTTTAAAGGAAAAATAGCAGAAGCAGAAGGCCCTATTAAATCAAGATTCAATATACTTAAATTTCAGGAATTATTTGATAATGAAGTACTATTGTTTTTTATTAAGCCCCTTAGTTAGATTTTGTGGGTTTTGGGGTTTTTGTTTTTTGTTTTTTTGCTTTTGCGTTGGAGTCTCACTCTGTCACCCAGACTGGAGTGCAGTGGCATGCTCCCGGCCACCGCAGCCTCGACCTGCTGGGCTCCGGCGATTCTTCCACCTCAGCCTTCCAAGTAGCTGGAACTATAGGCGAGCGCTACCAGTCCGGCTAATTTTTTGGTTTAGTGTAGAGATGAGGTCTTGCCAAGTTGCCTGGGGGTGGGGGGGGGTCTCAAACCCACAGGCTCAGGCAATCCACTCACCTCAGCCTCCCAAAGGCACGGGATTACAGCCTGAGCCACCGAGCCCAACTTGTGTGTTTTTAATGAAAGCGAAAGTTTAAGCTACCCTGGAACAGGAATCTTTTGGGGCCCTGGAACTAAGTATATTCTCTTCATAGACTATCAAATAAGTCATAATCTAGTAAAGGAGATGAGAAAAACATACAATCAAAATACAAGATAAAACATGTTAAGTATCAGAAGATGGGCACTGAAAAAAAGTAAGATTTTTGGATGATAACATCTTGACTTCATTGAGGGGAATTAGGGAACATTTCATGAGGGAGATTTTTTTGCTTGTCTCTTAGTTTGTTTGGAAGTTGGTGTTCAAGTCAGGCTTCAATGTAACAGATGTAAATGCTTTTGGTTGTGCATAGTCAAAGAAATTGTGGGCAGTATGTTTAAAACAGAGCCCTGAAATGTGGTATGAACGATGGTTGAATTCTCAGTTGCATTATTTTTCACAGGACTATATTACTCATTACTCGGAAGTACCCTAAACAAGTCTGTGGCATTTTGCTGCTCTGCTACATTCCTTCTCCCTTCTAAAAATTGATTCTAACTGTTTGTACTGAGTCTTCCATTAATAAAGTTTGGATAAGGTAGTCTTTCAATCTGTCATCATTGGTCACTTAGGGGAATTTCTCTGCTTCAGCTAAAACTCTTTGTCAGACTTGTGAAGCAAAGATAGGTGCATCCAGAAATATTGTCCTCATAAGTGTGGTCTAGGGTTGTTTTTTTTAAAGATAAAAGAATGTATAACATTTATGCAGTTTAAAATCCAACAATATAGTGACTACACATGTGCCAGTCAACCATCTACTTTTAAAAATAAGAAATTACCAATGCTTTCCAAGTCCTCCATGGGCCCCTTATCTGCCCAGAGGGAACCATTATCTGAAACTTTGTGTTTTTCATTCTTTAAACTTTGTACTTTAAATTTAACCATATATGTATATATTCTAAAACACTGTATTTGAGCTTGCCTTTTTTTGCCTTTATAATATAAATACATACTATATATATAATATATATATATAATGCTTATCTAGATGGAGTCTTTATACTATTTTGCAACTTGCTTTGTTCCTTTAACATTTTGTTTATGGGCCATGTGTGGTGGTAATTTATTCAATTTTCACTGCCATAGACTATTTCTTTGTGGGAAAATACCCATGTTGATGTTGATGTCCAGTTGGGTGGTTTTCAGTATATTGCTATTATACACACAGCATGGCTTCATGGTTTGTGGAGAGTTTTTCTAGGCTAGAATTCCTGGTTCATGGGGTCTGCATATCTTTAGTTTTACTAGATGATACCAAATAATTGTTTCCATGTTTGCCAGTCTGGTGGCTTTAAAAGAGTTTTTCTTGTGATGTGGGTATGTATGTGGCTTTACCTTACTTCTCAGTTTTTATTTTGAAAAAATTTCAGAACTACAGATCAGTTGCACGACTAGTACAGTGAATATATCCTTCACTTAGATTCACTAATTAACAGTTGCTACATATGCTTTATCTATCTTTTTGCACATGCATGGTATTCACACATACATGTATGTTTTATTTTTTTGAACCATTTAAGAATTAGTTGTGTATATCATTGCCTTTCCACCCATGTCTAATTCAGCATGTATTTCCAAAGAACATGGACATTCACTTTTAAAATCACAATACCATTATTGTACTCAGGAAAGTTAACATTTCATTGTTTACATAAATATTATCTAAAAATAGCCCATGTTCAGATTTCCCTAGCTACCCCAATAATGTGCTTTCTTTAAGCAATTTTTAAATTTTTTGTAGCTAAGTGAATTATTATAAGGCAAACACCCTTGTAAACCATCACCTAGGATGAAAAAATAGAACTTTGCCAGCCCTTACCCGAAGCCCTTCCATGTAGCCCATCCCAGTCACAGTCCTCTAGTTCCCTCCCAAAATAACTACTATTCTGACTTTTATTGTACTAACTTTCTTTTATTTCTTTATGGCTTTCTCACCTAAATATTCGTTTCTGTCCCTTTAGTCTTGGCCATTATTTTTTATTTCATATGCTTTTCACCCGTGTGTGTGTGTGTGTGTGTGTTTGCCTTTTAAGTCTCTCAACCTACAAGCTCCCCTTCCATCATTTTATTTTCCTTACAATTTATCTGTTAAAAGAACCTGGCACGTTTGACCTATAGAGTTTCTAACAGTTTGGGTTTTACCGATTACACATTTATGGTGCAGTTTAACATGTCTCTGTGTTTCCCACAAATTTGGCAGCTGGATTCAGCAACTACTTGATCCAGTTTCTGTTTGATCCTTTTGGCAAGGCTGTAGATCTAGTAGGCACATAAGTCTGGTTTTTGTTTTGCTTTTTTTGGAGTTAGTAGCTCTTGTTGCTCAATGCCTAGACCCATTGAATCTTTGAGGGTTGGAAAATGGTGATATTCTACTTTCATTTTTCATTTTCATGTATTAACTGAAATATTTTATTTTTAATTTTTAAAATTTTTAAAATTTTTTATTTTTAAAGTAATCACTTTATTTTTTATTTTTAAAGAAGTGGAATACAATTCACTGTTAGGTACATAAGTGGTCATCATACAGGTAAATTTGGGTACCTTTTTTTAAATACATTTTTTATTTTTAAATTGTGGGGTACAGTTAAGGGTTAGGTATACAAATATGCATTGTGCAGGTACCCTTGTTGATGAGGTGTGCCCCCCTTTCCCCAGACAGATATTGACTACCGTTAATCCCACCTCCCTTCCCCTCCCTGCCCCCTACATAGTTTCCCGCCACTGTAGCTGAAATATTTTAATAAGGAACGTCTTCCCTTCATCTGTTTAGTTACTCAGTTATAATTTATATAGAAAAAATAGGACGAATGCTTGGATTTTTTTCCCTCTTTT